CTTCCTATCCAATGAAATGGGTATCCATAGGCATATAGAGTTCATTAACATCCACAGATTTGGGCGTCACCGTCGAGGATATAACAGACCTATTGTAGCAAGGTTCTTATAACAAGGTGACCTTGAGTTGTGCCTCAAGCAGTCATCACGCCTGCAATCAACTCCATACCGAGTGTATAGGCAATATCCATCAGCCATGGCAGAAAAGAGGCGTTGTCTAAAGCCGATAGTGAACAGACTGTGGGAAGAAGGTGACAGAGTGAAACTGTATGTTAATGGAGAACTATATGAGGGTGACGAGGCCCAGTGGTACGATGAAGAGGAGAACTCCGAATCCGATGTTGAGGCCATGGAAAGATAGGATCTTGCGGTCGCGGGATCGATTTCAAAATGCAATGACTTGGATACTATCCGCGGCCTTAATCCGCTCCGGGTACTTACTTGGAACATAGGCAAAGGACTCAAGAACAGGGTTTGTGGTTTGTGGTTTGTGTTTCTGAAAGCTGGATAACAGAGAATGATTGTAACATAATTTTTGTAGATGGTTATGAATCACTTACATTTCCTCATAAGACTGGTAGAGGAGGTGGTTTAGTTATATTTATTAGAAAAGAAATATTTAAATATGTCTGCTTATTAGAAAATATCTCTGATACTATAGTAGTGTTAAAACTAAATCATGTTCAGCTCAATGGTAAACCTATACACCTTATTTTCTGTTATTTTCCTCCCCATGGAAGTGTTTTCTATGAGCGAGAGGATATAGACTTATTCCAATGCTTATATGAACTTCTTGTTAAATATAGCACTCATGGTCATATATTTATATGAGGTGACTTCAATGCCAGATGCGGAGAAAATGATGATTATATCACCAATGATATTAATGAAAATATTACAGATACATTACAACCTTTCTACTTTTATACTTCTGACATTTGTGACGTTGAAAGAAAAACTCAAGATAAATGTATTAACCATTATGGTAGACAATTGTTAACATTATGTAAAAGTGTTGGTTTACGAATAGTTAATGGTAGACATCCTGATGATCCTAGTGGTAGTGTAACATTTTGCAGTACAAATGGAACAAGTGTTATTGATTACCTCTTATGTGAACAAGATATGATACAGCATATTGAAAAATTCAATGTTGATACATTTAATACTCTCTCGGATCATTCCCCATTACTCTTCCATGTAAAATGTGATAAAAGTAATTTTGGTAATGCAAAAGAATGTACAGACATAAGTATGAATGTTCGGACTGTAAGTAAAATTGTAAAATGGAAGGAGGCGAACTGTACTGATATTTTAAACGCTCTCCAACATAATATGTCAGAGTTGATGAACATTGTTGATACACCAATATGTAATCAGAATGACGTAAATAGTTGTGTCAAATCTTTTTGTGATGTTATTAATAGCATTGTGTTACCTCATTGTGATATACGAACTCCCAGCAGAAATGGAATAAGATATAAGAAAACTGAAGATAAACCATGGTTCAATGATGAGTGTAAATCAAAATATATGGAATATAAAGATGCACTTCATAACTTTAATAAGTGCAAATCCACAGAAAATCACCAATCTTTGATTCACCATAAAACAATTTATAAAAAGTATGAAGATAAATGTAGGAAGTATTATAAGAGATAGGAGGGAAATTTATTTGAATATTTAAGGAAAAACAATCCCAAAAACTTTTTTAAGCTTTTCTCAAAAGACAAAAAATCATGTACTTGATAGTTCAATATCTATTGATGAATTTGTGGAATACTTTCAAAATTTGATGGATGATGATCATAGAAGTTTTGATGAAAGGGACCAACCGTTAAACTATGATATAACAGGGGATGCTATCTTTGAAGAGTTAGATAGAGAGATATCAGGGGAAGAAGTATATGAAGCAATTAACAAATTAAAGCGCAATAAGAGTTGTGCAGAAGATTGTATGTTGAACGATTTTTTCATTACATGTAAAAACCATATTGTACCATGTCTAGTTAAACTTTTTAATTCTATATTTAGTACTGGGTATTTTCCAGAATCGTGGGCTCAAGGTTACATAGTCCCTGTATTTAAAAAGGGGGACCCCAATAATTATAGAGGTATCACATTGACTAGTTGCTTAGGTAAACTTTATACATCTGTCTTAAATAGTCGTTTATTAAAATGGGATTTGGAAAACTCTATATTATCAGATGCTCAGTTCGGTTTTAAACCAGGTCTCTCTACTACTGATGCCATTTTTTTTTTACATACAATGATTACCAGACAATTAAGTCGCAGAGGGGGAAGACTATACTGTTGTTTTATAGACTATAAAAAAGCATTTGATTTTATAGATAGGAGCAGCCTTTGGGTTAAGTTAATAAAACAGGGCATTGAAGGAAAACTATTAAAAACAATAAAATCACTATATACCATTGTTAAATCATGTATTAAGTCAAATGGTGTGATGTCTGAATTTTTTGAAAATAAAGTTGGTCTATTACAAGGTGAGGTGTTATCACCAATATTGTTCTCTCTTTTTGTTAATGATTGTGAATTACATTTTATAAGAAACAACTGTCCATCTTTTGATTTCAATTTACTAAACATGTTCTTGCTTATGTATGCTGATGATATGGTACTAATGGCAGAATCTGCTGATTCACTGCAGAAATTGTTAGACTCTTTACTTTCGTATAATCAAGAATGGAAATTGAAACTTAACCCTGAAAAAACAAAAATTGTTGTGTTTAGAAATCAAGGAAATGTAAAGATATCTGAAAAATTTATGTACGAGGATAAAGAACTTGAAATTGTCAACGAATTCAATTACCTAGGTATGCTGTTTAATTAAAATGGGAAATTCAATATCACTCAGATGCATGTTGCCGATCAAGGTCGAAAGGCATTTTTTGCAATTAACTCAAGAATGAATAATCATTACTTAAAACATAGAAACAAAATGTGCAGTTTTTGATACATATTTGAAAAGTGTTTTGTCATATGGAGCTGAAATATGGGGTTTTCACAAGGCTAAAGATGTTGAAAAAATTCATAGTAATTTTTGTAAGAAAGTCTTGGGTGTGAAATTATGTACTCCAAACAATATATATGGTGTATTATGAATTAGGCAGATTACCTTTGTATCTTTCAAGGAAACTTCAAATTTTGAAATATTGGCTTAAACTTAAAAATACAAACAACTGTATATTGAAAGCATGTTATGAAGAAAGGGTAAGGAATAATGACAAATGGTTTACTGAAATTAAGAATGAATTTGATAAACTTGGTTTAAGCTATCTCTTGTTCCAAGATTTTGACACTTGTAGAGAATATGTTATTGTTATGCAAAGATTCTTTGATGTGTATAGTCAAGAAATCCTTCATAGTATTAAGATGTCTACAAGAGGTAGTGATGGGGAATCGGAAAAAAATCAGAATCGATTATCGGTAATAATCGGCTGGGCATAATCGATTAATAATCGATTATAATCGAAATTTTGAACTTTAATAAAATTAATATAGAAAAGTTGAAACTTTAAAAATTTTCAGATTCCTGTCAGACTTTTACAAAAAAAAAACAACATTTACTTACATAAGATATTCAATAATGTTAATTGAAATTTCTTTTTTAAAAAGTGGAAAATAATATTTTGTTTACTTTAAACAATATAGGACTATATAAGACTATTGAAACAGAATGGGAATTTATTTATTTTTTTTTTTTTTATAAAGTCCATGCAATGGGTATTTTACTGATATTAGTCCCACCTTTCATTTAATACATGTATATTTTTCTTAAAATTAGTTTTAATTAGTTAAAATAACAAAATTGCAAGTTTTAAAAGAATTATCCAGAAGTTAGACTTGTATTTATGATAGTAATTACGTTTAAAGATTGACTAGACTAATTATGTTTTCCTTTGTATAGTAAAACCTTGCAATATTAGCGTTTCCTGGTATTAGTCTAACCCCATATTCAATCATGGCGGTAAAAGTATCAACAAGACACGGAATCCTTCCATGTTTTCAACGTTTATCACTACTTTTATGCTCTTTGCACTTGGATTTGGTAATAAAATTAAAGTATGACAATTTTATTTTTTGTTAGCCATGTCGGCGACATTTATTTTATAATCGATTAGTAGCATCGAAGAGCTTCTAACGACCGACAATCGATTGTCGGCGACAATCGTTCCATCACTAACAAAAGGAAAGTTGTATCAACATTTTATAGACCATTTTTGTTTACAGAATTATTTATCAAAACCTATTAAACATGCATACAAAAAATGTATCACAAGCTTTAGACTGTCTAGTCATAAATTACGGGAGAAGAAGGTAGATATGTTAATGAAAACAGAAATAACAGAAAATGTTTATTATGTGACTTAAATGATGTAGAAGATGAGTTCCATTTTATATTGAAATGTCCTAGATATCAAGATCTCAGAATCCAATATATAAAACAGTATTATGTTAAAAAACCTAGTGTCTTTAAATTGATACAATTGTTAAGTGTACAAAATGTTAAAGAAATGTCTAAATTGGGAAAATTTTTGTTCAGTGCTTTACAACGAAGAAAAGATTTATTAAACTGTTCGTAGCTCATGATATGTATGTAAACATTAATTTTATTATACAATTGAAAGATCTGAATATATGTATACCTTGTTTATAATACAATGTACATGTATCTGTCTGATGTGCCATTTGGCATAAGGAAATAAAGAATTGAATAAAATGTGAAAATTTTCCAAAAAAAAAAAAAAAAAAAAAAAAAAAAAAAAAAAAAGCTCAGGAAGTCTTTCATCCTTAAAAATGTTTCTACGACGCCCTTCTTCAATTATAAGATTAATTATGTGCAGATATTGTTCTACTTATTCTACTTATTTAATTTTTTAAAAAGACAAATGTTTCAGTCGTGTTTTGATAATTTATAAATCGCATTTTACATGAGAAGTAAATTTAAATCACACATTATCTCTAGATTTGTACATATTTCACAGCTTGTCATCGTTGTTTTTTCGTGTACATTTCAGTGACACTTTAGGGTGACACAGTGCATAATACATCAGCATGAAGAGAGTACACAGAACAATCCCGGATGAGGCTACTGATATAATGGCTATATATACCCAGCTGGATTTGTACACGTCACCCCAAAATACAAAAAGCGCCACCATCACGGCGTTTTCTACATGGAACAAAGAGTAATACGCGATGATAATAGCTCGAGATTTTCCTCGGCTCAAATTCATGAAGGATATGATTTGCACAAATCCAATGAACACAATGAATAAAATGTTATGTAGTGTTGATTCATATGCTTTTACATTTTTGAAAAATGCAACAGTTATCATGATCATCCAATGGAAAAGAACCCCGAAAACTATGTAGTAAGGACCGTTTCCTTCGACTGAAATCAACATTACAAATGCTGTGATTCTTGGTCCGATCTCGAATACTCGCCAAAGGAAGTATCCCATAGCTCCGCAGATTGTGTTTGCCTTTAAACCGGAAGTTGCGTTAAAGATGCGCAGCGCTCTGTAGTATCCTGTCACCGACCATGCCAGACCTGCTAAAGAGGACGCTATGGTAACAGCTCGCAGAAGTTCTGTAATCAAACAAACATCTTATCAATGTAAATCTGTAAGTAGTTAAGAAATCGGCCTTGCTTAAATAGGTAGAAGGAAAATCTCTTCAATCATAATATAAATATTTGAATATTCATTGAAATTCAAACTTGATGATAAATACAGCTCCATGCATTATAGAATACACGTTCAAGCTACATTATTGGAAATGATATGTATCCTAGCTAAGGCACTGGAACAATTCCTGGAAAATAATTCTTATTTAGTCCATAGTAAAATTACAAAATCAATTAAGATTTTGAGGACAAGAACAGTAACATTTAACCAACGCTTAAAAGAACCTCTTACATATTAATATAAAAACACACTTGTATACCAGTCTCATTAAAGATTTTCCCGCTTTAAAGTACTTTTATGGGTTTTTTTTTCAAAATAGTTTGGTGCAACAAGTGTGGTACATATTAGATGTATATATTGATTTTATGAAGAAATAAAACAGGACGAAGACAAGTCGCAGTCATGTAATTATAACTTATGAAAAGATAATTTCTTTTGAACAATAACTTCGAAGAATATACTACATAACATTATGCTTACAAATTTAACAGATAACGAAATGATTTATTTCCTGAAGTTGTGGTACTCAAAGGACCGTCTTCTCCCATTTCCAGCCTGATAAATATATCAAACTTATTAAAATAAAGTTGCAAAGTTTAAAAAAAAAATTTCCATTTTAAAGTAGAAACACATTACTTTAGCAGAAATAAGCGTTTATCCGTTACTTACCTAAGTGTATTGCTTGTTGGGGAGTGTCATGGATAGCAATGTAAACCTGAATAATCAGCTGAGGTGCGGATTCAAAGAAGGCATCGAACATCCGTAGAAAACTGGCATCCAGGTCAGTCTGTTTCATTTCATTGTAATGTATAGTTTTTATCTTTTTATCTCTAGATCTGCGACTTAAGCATCCATGTTTTAAGTAAGAGAAGTTTCTAAAATAAATATATAAAATTTGGTAAATACCGTGGTAGTAAAGTTATTGACTGTAAGTGCAGATATTTAAAGAGTTTTTCGCCAAGAAAGAAAAATAATTTCAGTGTCTTTTTCGATGATTATGAAGAATTTGTCAAGTATAGTTGATTTGAAATGTTAGCATACAATACCTGATAATGGTAGAAAATGGGAAGGCCACAACAAGAAACAAAAACTTCCCCACTTTTCCAAAGGGTCCTCTTACATCTTGTAGGTACCAAATTGTGCTTAAGGACCCCGTCACCAGAAATGACGCAATCACAACTGATGACGTAAGTACACACTCTACAATTCTACCGTGATTGTTGTACTCCAAGGCAAGAAGAATATCCGTGACAACATCAAATACAAACAGTACTATTGAAAGAGCTATTCCAAGAAAGTCCAAAATGGTAAATGGATAGGGTTGGTTGTAATTTTTATCATTTGTCGTAGAAGTGTTCTCATCAACGATAAGCGTGACGTGTTCATCTCGGAGCCCCACCATATTTCTGAACGCCATTCGATTACCCTCCCCATTCTGTTCCGATTTTTCGGGGAAATCGACCGTGTCCATGTCTGGAAAGTTTTGTTCGATTACATTGTTTTCACTTTGTGTTCCACGTAAACCAACCATGTTGTCAACTTCATCATCGTTCTTCATTTTACCTTTCTTCTTTTTTGATTTTAACTCCTTCATTGTGTCACAATTTCCGGGAATTAAATTTTAGTTTTGAGGAATGAATAACAAAAATTCTTCTCACGGAATTATCTGTCTAGTTTCGTTTTAGACCTATTTTCTTACTGTAATCTAACATATCAGTTAAAGATATGGGGAATCTATGAATAGATTTGTAAACACCCTATTATCTGAAACGTCTCACTCAGTATTTACAACTAGCCTGGGCTTTAAAAAATAGAAAATAATATTTATCTAATATTTGTTTGTCAAAAGACCTTCCTTGCAAAGATTTGTCTTTGATTGGAGGCAAATAATAGGATATATGAATTTTAAGTCTTTATTCTTGAAATTATAGAAATGATCTTATAACTACAACAAATTCCTATATTTAGGTATGTCAGAAAGTATATATTACGGAAGCCCTGGAGGGACAATGACTTACATGTTATGACTTAAGTAAGTCAATGTCCCTCCAGAGGTTTCGTGTTACGGTTACGATATACATGCAAAAAAACAACATTAAAATAAGACCTGACTGAAAATAGAACAAATATGAATTGAAATGAACAATTTCTTCATAATTTAAACATATCCAAATCAAATCGGGAACTGAATATTCATTTATCGCTGAAAAAGAATGAATCGTTTAAAAGTCAAAATCTGGCCCCCCGATAACATGGATAATTTACAAAAAATATATTTAAAGATTTTCTTCATATTTCTGCCTCAATCTTTCCATAAAACATTGTAGTTAATTGATTTTAATTTCAATGTTTAATTCCATGCACTGTAATTAGGTATTTATCTGATTAATATAGCAGGGGTACGTTGTTTACATCGATTTCTCATAGACTTTAGGCCACACCTCCATTTTGCAAACCAATTTTTATATGAACGCATGGATGTTTCAAGTAAATATGGTCATTGTAAAGCGATTAACTAGTCATTTACATACTTGAAAGAAATTGAAACAGTCATGCGCTCATGTATTATTTTCCAAAAATGTGCAAAATCACGGATACTTGTCTCTGTAGTAAAGGCACCTTGTTTACAAATTTCAACCTGCCTTTGACCTCATGAATAACAAAGCACTGAACACGTGACTTAAATCTATTCACTTTCGTGCTTTCATCACACCTATGCGACATCGTGTACAGGTGTCAACGAGCTATCAATGGTCAAACCATTTTCAGGTGGCTAATTGAAAATTCTGGGCGAAATTCTTAATTAAGATATGTTAAGATTTTTGAATTGTTATTAAATGCCATTTCAGTCGACTTTGTTTGATTTATTTCGGTAACTATCATTATATGCCTTTGTCTCTAAATATTCATCGGCGCTACATTTATTGACTCTTAAAAAATAGAAAAAATTTTTTTTTTATTTCAGTTAAAACTTTCATTAATTTCAAAGATCGTCATTTGAAAAACACTAATCAATCATATCTTTAGAAAATAAACTGTAAAAACAGTTTGTTACGAGTGCACAAATGCATATACTTCCACTATAGAAACATTAAGGGGAAGAAATTGAAATACGGAGCGCGGAAAGACTATATAAGCGATAAAAAGTCACTGGATGAAAACATTTGCACAAAATGCCCCTATAATTTGAATTGAGGGAAGCTTCAGGCTTTTTCTGACGACGAGTGTGTTAAAATCAAAAAATTACACGAGTGAATTTCAACAATTATTGAATTCATAGATAGAGAAGATCATATTAAGTACAGCTCCGTGTAAAAATCATGCAGAGGGTGATTCATGGGGGGTTTCAGAATTTCTTCAAACTTTGCATGTTGGTAGAGTATGTTAAGATACTCCAAAAAAAATTATAATTTTTTTTTAATTCTGCCACTGGTATCCATGGCAACCGATAAACTGTTTTGGGCAAAAAATGGCTGAAATTTCCTCTAAAAACAGGCAAAAATACCATTAATGAAGATTAAATGAAAAGAAAACTAAACAATAAAACACATTTATGTTTATTTCTTATTAAAATACAACATAAGTAGTTACTATCCATATCTAGTCAAAATATTTTTATGACCAGTAATGTGTGCTAATTTTAAGCTAAAAAGGGGAGATAATTCATATTGGCAAAAAATGTAAAATATCCATTTTTTAGGATTTTTATCTATCAAAAATTTCTAAAAACCCCACAGCCAAACTAAAAAGCCATGCTAGTTTCATAGAGACTATAGTCTAAAGTCAATAAAATTATTAAAACATTTTTGTGCAAATGATTATTAATTTCCCAAAACAACTGATGAATTTTGAACAAAAATGGTAATTTCACTTTTTTTGTCACAGTCCAATATATGCCATATATGTTTGCATGTAAAAAATAAATAGCATTTCAAAACCATTTTTTTATATTTCCATTTTCAAATACAATTAAATTATTTACTTTTCATAATTAATCCAAATATAACACGTCCAGTAATAGTTTTTAATGTTAAGCTGAAAAGGGGAGATAATCCATGTCGAGAAAAACTGAAATTTTCCATTTTAAAAAGATTTACAGCTAAATTCAGCTATATGATAAAAAATTTAAAGAAAAAATACACTATAGCCAAACAGAAAGGCATTGTTTATTTCCTAGACACCATACCTTATGGCAAATAAAATATTAAAAACATTTTTGTGCAATTGATTATTAATTTCCAAAAGCCATTGAAGAGTTTTATACAAAAAATGGGAAATTCACTTTTTCGACACGGTCAAATAAATGTCATGTATATATTTAATATGCATGTTAAATTATAAATAGCATTTCAAAACAATTTCTTTATAGTTCCAAATCCAAATACAACACAATTATTTATTTTCATTAATCAAATTATATCTACTGTAAACCAACTATTATTCGCGTCATCTTTTATTCGCGATTCGTTCATTTAAAATCAATCCGCTACGATTAATTTCCGCGACCAAGGAAACATTCCCTAAAAATCCTTAGCAAAATGAATGGTTCGCGGCGATTAATATTCGCGCGTTAAAGGAGGACGCGGAACTCGCGGATATTTCTCGCACGCGAATAAAAGTTGGTTTACAGTATATCTACAGTATTATTTCTAATTTCAAGCTGAAAAGGGGAGATAATTCATGTTAACAAAAAACAAACAAAATTTCATTTTTTGAGGATTTCAGTTATCAAGAAAATAAAATATATCTATGATTTAAAAAATAGCCAAACAAAAAGGCTGAGTAGGTTTTATAGATACCATACCCTATGGAAAATAAAAAAAAATCATTGTGATTAATAATTTCACCAAAAAAAGAAGTAGCATCATCTTTTGTCAGAGTCCAATATATATACACCATGTACACACGCCAGTACATGTTTACATGTAAGAATATCAGTTCACATTTTAAAATAATTCCTTTACATTTCCAAATTCAAATACAACACAAATTATTTTTTTCATTAATGAACAGTAAAATGTAAAAAACATTTGAAAATATTAATCATATTAATATTGATTAGGCCAAAATAAAAAAATACTCTCGTTTCATGTCACCCGACCTACCATACATTTTACCCTCCGACCTTTAAAGTTTTTATCCCATTTTCATTTTTTGGGTGACTATTTTCCTAAAATACTAAAGTCGACCAACAATTTTAACAGAACTAATACATCACAAGTGTACTGGATACTTTTACTTTATAAATCTTCATTACCAAACTTGCTGTGTAAACTGTTAACATATCATTTTCTAATTATTACATGATATATGTTCTGCATCCATTGAGTTTTCAAAATAAAATTTTTTCTCAAAATAAAATTTTTTCCCTACCTACCTACCCTAATATTTTTGGTCTGGGGACAGGAAACAAGAGTATATTTTCTTTTGGCCTTACTAGATACATTTATCATATAATCATTGTATATGTAAACACAATTTTTAAAGTTTTACATCTTTGTAAGGTGCAGTCATGCCACTCAGAATATCACTAATCTCCCCTGCTTCTCTTCTGTAGTAAGTGACTGTCCTTTGTTTATTAGCCTCTTCTAAAAGCACTTAAGATCCTTGGGAAGAGAATTGCTGCCTGATTAACATTATCCAAAGTACCGTCATGGAATCCACTGAACTCTAATCTCTGCATTTTGACAGCTTTAATTTTATGCCTTTAAATATCTTATTTTTCATTATTCCTAAAATAATAATTACAATATACATGTACATGTACTTATCATTCATCAATTTAGAATTCTTTAGTTTATGCTACATTATTATTAAGGTACTAAATGGTTATTTTGATTTTATAAATTACTTTACATGGAATATCAAGTTTATATAATGCAGTAATTTCATTAAAAATCTATAAATGGTTGCATGACATATATTCTCCCACCTTTGGAGTCTTATTAGTTGGTGGTGTTCAATGATGTTTTCTTGCTGTCTGTAATAAATAGTGTAACCTTTTCCTTCAAAACCATGATGCAGCCCATCACATATATTCTGTGAAAATAAAATGGGGTTTAATTCATCTAAAAAACAATAATACTAATTTATGAAATACAGTAAAACAAAGTTATAACAAAGTCACCGTGACCTATGAAATTACTTTGCTACATCAATTACTCGTTATATCCATATAAGGAATTTGTTAAATTTATATAGCTGGGGATCTAAAATAACTTCGCTATATCCATGAATTCGCTATATCCGTGTTCATAGTAAACGAGTTTTGCTGTATGTGAAATATCTTTTCTACTAGTGTATTTTTCATCATTTGCAATATGTCTCCAGTTTTAACTTTAGTACAATTTAAACAGAATCTACACTACTTGAGGCTTCTTCCAATGACTTCCATATCAGTACAATATTAATCATGGCTTTGCTGTTCTAGGGAAGATTCTCCCCTATATATTGCAATGTGAAACTTTGATCCCCATTGTGGCTCCATCCTACCCAAAGGGGGTTAACTTAACCAATTTATTTATACACTACATCACCAGAGAATGCTTCCATATCATCACTTTGCTGTTCTTGAGAAGATTTTAAAAGATTGTTACTTAAACCATTCCAAGTTTTCTATTTTTTAAGATCCATGTGTGCCTTGGTTTTGAATCCCAATGAGAAA